AAGCATTCCTGTCAAGTTTTGTCATAATCAGTTCAATAGTTTGAGAAAAATCTAGTATAATGTAAGACGACATCTGCAGCGATTCGAGTAAAATTTCTTCGAAAAATCCAAACCAAGCCGCATCATGATAGAATATAGTGTGGACCAATAAATGATCAAATATTTATCTCATCTGCCTACAAACAGTTGAATATGATACAAAAGATGACTTTAGGATGATAAATACTACCAATGGACCTCTTTGTCTTCCTTATAAGGTCTCTTTTGGTCCATTTATACCTCTCATTTCCTCAAAATTTCTACTTTATAGGCCAATAAATAAAAATTTTGGGGTAACTTTCACTCATTTATGATAGAAATGTTATAATAAATGATTAATTGAAGTATTCAAGCTGAATGAACTATCCGTATAAAAGTTTACTGTCTCCAAGGAGGTTTCAATAAGTCCTTACGTAAAACTTAAATTTACGCCGCGTTCCAGAGAGGGACATAAAAAGCTTCTCTTTTGGTGAATAATTTGTGGTTACTGCTTTAAAAATAATTTCATTTACTTCAAACTATATATTTATTAAAGTATTTCTTAGGAAAAAATTTCTAGTATAGCAGAATATAAGAAAAAAGGAGAAAAAGCTCCCCAAAACTCTAAGTATGGCTTATTCTGTCAACTAATATTCATGGTAAAGTCCTATTTCAAGGAAATTTTCTCATAAAATGTGTTTTGGAGACTCAATCCACTCAGAATATTTCATTATTAGTAATATTTCACTTAAATAGCAAGAAATTTTAACACATGAGAGTACTCACAAGGTCAAAGGTGCATGTACAGCTTCCTATATTTAAAGAAGACTTTTTTGTTAAATAAACTGAATGTGACTTTTTTCCTTTGTTATACTGGTTATTTCAAGCATTCCTGTCAAGTTTTGTCATAATCAGTTCAATAGTTTGAGAAAAATCTAGTATAATGTAAGACGACATCTGCAGCGATTCGAGTAAAATTTCTTCGAAAAATCCAAACCAAGCCGCATCATGATAGAATATAGTGTGGACCAATAAATGATCAAATATTTATCTCATCTGCCTACAAACAGTTGAATATGATACAAAAGATGACTTTAGGATGATAAATACTACCAATGGACCTCTTTGTCTTCCTTATAAGGTCTCTTTTGGTCCATTTATACCTCTCATTTCCTCAAAATTTCTACTTTATAGGCCAATAAATAAAAATTTTGGGGTAACTTTCACTCATTTATGATAGAAATGTTATAATAAATGATTAATTGAAGTATTCAAGCTGAATGAACTATCCGTATAAAAGTTTACTGTCTCCAAGGAGGTTTCAATAAGTCCTTACGTAAAACTTAAATTTACGCCGCGTTCCAGAGAGGGACATAAAAAGCTTCTCTTTTGGTGAATAATTTGTGGTTACTGCTTTAAAAATAATTTCATTTACTTCAAACTATATATTTATTAAAGTATTTCTTAGGAAAAAATTTCTAGTATAGCAGAATATAAGAAAAAAGGAGAAAAAGCTCCCCAAAACTCTAAGTATGGCTTATTCTGTCAACTAATATTCATGGTAAAGTCCTATTTCAAGGAAATTTTCTCATAAAATGTGTTTTGGAGACTCAATCCACTCAGAATATTTCATTATTAGTAATATTTCACTTAAATAGCAAGAAATTTTAACACATGAGAGTACTCACAAGGTCAAAGGTGCATGTACAGCTTCCTATATTTAAAGAAGACTTTTTTGTTAAATAAACTGAATGTGACTTTTTTCCTTTGTTATACTGGTTATTTCAAGCATTCCTGTCAAGTTTTGTCATAATCAGTTCAATAGTTTGAGAAAAATCTAGTATAATGTAAGACGACATCTGCAGCGATTCGAGTAAAATTTCTTCGAAAAATCCAAACCAAGCCGCATCATGATAGAATATAGTGTGGACCAATAAATGATCAAATATTTATCTCATCTGCCTACAAACAGTTGAATATGATACAAAAGATGACTTTAGGATGATAAATACTACCAATGGACCTCTTTGTCTTCCTTATAAGGTCTCTTTTGGTCCATTTATACCTCTCATTTCCTCAAAATTTCTACTTTATAGGCCAATAAATAAAAATTTTGGGGTAACTTTCACTCATTTATGATAGAAATGTTATAATAAATGATTAATTGAAGTATTCAAGCTGAATGAACTATCCGTATAAAAGTTTACTGTCTCCAAGGAGGTTTCAATAAGTCCTTACGTAAAACTTAAATTTACGCCGCGTTCCAGAGAGGGACATAAAAAGCTTCTCTTTTGGTGAATAATTTGTGGTTACTGCTTTAAAAATAATTTCATTTACTTCAAACTATATATTTATTAAAGTATTTCTTAGGAAAAAATTTCTAGTATAGCAGAATATAAGAAAAAAGGAGAAAAAGCTCCCCAAAACTCTAAGTATGGCTTATTCTGTCAACTAATATTCATGGTAAAGTCCTATTTCAAGGAAATTTTCTCATAAAATGTGTTTTGGAGACTCAATCCACTCAGAATATTTCATTATTAGTAATATTTCACTTAAATAGCAAGAAATTTTAACACATGAGAGTACTCACAAGGTCAAAGGTGCATGTACAGCTTCCTATATTTAAAGAAGACTTTTTTGTTAAATAAACTGAATGTGACTTTTTTCCTTTGTTATACTGGTTATTTCAAGCATTCCTGTCAAGTTTTGTCATAATCAGTTCAATAGTTTGAGAAAAATCTAGTATAATGTAAGACGACATCTGCAGCGATTCGAGTAAAATTTCTTCGAAAAATCCAAACCAAGCCGCATCATGATAGAATATAGTGTGGACCAATAAATGATCAAATATTTATCTCATCTGCCTACAAACAGTTGAATATGATACAAAAGATGACTTTAGGATGATAAATACTACCAATGGACCTCTTTGTCTTCCTTATAAGGTCTCTTTTGGTCCATTTATACCTCTCATTTCCTCAAAATTTCTACTTTATAGGCCAATAAATAAAAATTTTGGGGTAACTTTCACTCATTTATGATAGAAATGTTATAATAAATGATTAATTGAAGTATTCAAGCTGAATGAACTATCCGTATAAAAGTTTACTGTCTCCAAGGAGGTTTCAATAAGTCCTTACGTAAAACTTAAATTTACGCCGCGTTCCAGAGAGGGACATAAAAAGCTTCTCTTTTGGTGAATAATTTGTGGTTACTGCTTTAAAAATAATTTCATTTACTTCAAACTATATATTTATTAAAGTATTTCTTAGGAAAAAATTTCTAGTATAGCAGAATATAAGAAAAAAGGAGAAAAAGCTCCCCAAAACTCTAAGTATGGCTTATTCTGTCAACTAATATTCATGGTAAAGTCCTATTTCAAGGAAATTTTCTCATAAAATGTGTTTTGGAGACTCAATCCACTCAGAATATTTCATTATTAGTAATATTTCACTTAAATAGCAAGAAATTTTAACACATGAGAGTACTCACAAGGTCAAAGGTGCATGTACAGCTTCCTATATTAGGTGTAATACCACCATTGATTTTCCCCTATTAGTCTTTGTTAAATTTGCACTTTTCAAAAAATTGTGCAGAATTTATCTTTGTTTCAAATAAAGAAATACTTGGCATGAGTAAAGTTTGATCCTGTCCAGTACTATAGAAAAAATTTCACATAACATTTCATTGCATATAAGAAAATAACCATCACTGGAAGTTAACCAATCAAATTTTCCCCCTTTTTTAACCTGTATACAAGCTTTAGTAACCATGTAACCTCAAGTTTCCAAAATATTCTATAGAAACCCCAAATAAAAAAATAATGGTGCTTTGAAATACCCAAGATATATGTTTATGACCCAGAAATGTTTTACTGCAATGAAATGTAGGATCAATTACCTACAACTGTCAAATTCAAGGGAATATTTTTTTTCGACCTATTTTCGTATGCAACCGGATGTGACGTACTATGATTTGGTGGTATTACACCTAAAACGTTAACACAAGTTAAAAGGACTAAAAAAAAAAATTATAAATATTTTTTTTTTTCAAATCTAAAAATACCTTATATGACATTATCGAATGCTACTTAATACCAAATTGTTTTACTTGCAAAAAATAACAAGATAGGTGCGAATTGTATAACAGGATGATTGATTGTATAACGCGTAGTTTACTCTACCCATAAACAATGTTCTTAGTCCGAGACGACCATGCAGGTTTTGTTTTTACTCCTAAATGCAGCGGGCTTAGCAAAAATAACTGTAAATATATTTTTTTCAAGTATTTGGTTTGACCACGCGGGGAATGTAGTCAACGACCAACCGCACTCTAGAAAAGCACAAAAAAAAAGATACCACAGAGGTAGCCCAATGGAGGTTCGAAAAAAATACTGTATGACACCTGTGATAATTATTTTTTTTTTTTTGGGTGGGGGGTGAGTAATAAACATGCATCACCCGCAGTTGTTCACTTATTTAGTGTTAGTTACAATTAAAAAGCGGATGTGGTAATACACTTATGAGGAAGTTAACCAACGACAAATATGACCAGACGATACTTTGTGCGGGAAAACATACACTAGACATGTGTCTATACAATATGTGAAGCTCTTATTCGTTCCGCGTGCATAAAAGTTGAATACTGTCTTTCTTTAAGACACCAAAACATACTTCAATACCCTACTAACACCCTTAACCTTTTCTATGACAAATAAGGACATGGACAACCTGATATGACTACCACTATTTACGGAGTTTGTATCGCTCAGGATTTTGGCGCATCTGACTCAGTGTATTTTATTTGTAATGTTTGTATATTATCCTCCAGATCACGATATTTACTTTCCTTTTTAATGTATATTCAATCTTTTATCAATGAATTGTGTCAATTCCATTGTCGTGTTAATTGATGTTATAGAAATGCATGTTTAGGGATATTTGCTTGAATTCAAATTTATTAACGATAATGTTAATTTTTAGGTTATGATGGCGATACACCAGCGTTTTCAGCCTCACTTAGTAAATCACAGACCTTGGGCTACAATAGAAACGTTATATTTGATCAAATATGGACTAATGTGAGGAATGGATACAGCCCTCACACTGGGGTGTTTACTGTGCCCATAGGTGGACTTTACCATATTTCATGTACAGTTATGACTGCTTCTGGGAAAACACTTCGCGTTCATCTCTGGAAAAATGAGCAGAAAACTGTAGGTCTGTACCCTAATCTTGCCAACTTCAATTCAGCTACTCTTAACATGGTGTTAGATCTTGAGAAAGGAGACCGACTGTATATCCGACATGGTAATTCTCGATCAGAAGTTGTGTACAGTGAATCAGGAACAAACTCCAGTATGTTTTCTGGATATCTTATTTCTAAATAAAATGAGTTGATACCTGCATATTTTCTATTTTCTTTGCAATTGTTAAAGCAGTAAACAAAACCTCGGTTGACTCGGTTATTTTTTTATTATTATTGAATTTACATATTGGATTTTTTTATTTCCTGTTTAAAATCAACATGAGGAGGTCTGGTACGGTCGCAAATGAGACAACAATCAACCATAGACGAAATTGCCCGGATGTAAACAAATATAGACCAACGTACGACCTTAAACAATGAGCCCTAAAGTAAACTACAAAATTCTCCGATATGACAAAATGTAAAAGAATTATTCATACAAGAAAACCAATGGCCTGATTTGTAATAAAACAAACACGACAGAGAGCAACTAACAACAACCACTGAATTACAGGCTTCTTAATGACTTGGAACAAGAACATACAGAATTTGGCGGGGTTAAACATGTTTGCCTGCGATATAAATCACCCGCCAAACCTGGACAATAGTACAAAATAAGAAAAAACAATAACAAAAACTCCAAAGTAAATTCAAAAATTTAAAAAGGGGAGGTCCATAAAAACGGACAAAATAAAACGCTCGACTATATTAACCAACAAAACGACTGAAAAACAAATATCATATTCATGATTTGGCATTGGCATTGTCCGAAGAAAAGTATAGATTGAATGGTTGGTCTAAGTAAATTCTGGGTTTGGTTTGGGTTGCTTACCCAATTTTGTCAATATAATGTAACTATACACAACTGTCATACAAGTTTGAGGTTTAGCTAGCTTTAAAACTAGTTTTAAATAGTTATCAAAGGTACCAGGATTATAATTTAATACGCCAGACGCGCGTTTCGTCTACATAAGACTCATCAGTGACACTCAGATCAAAATAGTTATAAAGCCAAACAAGTACAAAGTTGAAGAGCATTAAGGACCCAAAATTCCAAAACGTTGTGCCAAGTACGGCTAAGGTAATCTATTCCTGGGATAAGAAAATCCTTAGTTTTCCGAAAAATTCAAAGTTTTGTAACAGGAAATTTATAAAAATGACCATATAATTGATCTTCATGTCAACACCGAAGTGCTGACTACTAGGAGGTTTAAGTCACCATTTTCTTCAGAAAATGCCTATACCAAGTCAGGAATATGGCAGTTGGTTTTCACTTGTTCCATCAATTTATATCGTTTGGTTTTGTCCGTTTTAGGGTATGGACTTCCCCTTTTTGAATCTGACTTGGAGTTCAGTATTTTTGTTATACATTTTTCCTATGACAACGCTCTTTACAATTTCCTAAAATACTTTTTTTTGTAAATACCTGTTATGATTATTCTATCAACTTCAGTCAACTGAATTGGGACAGGTACATCAGCTGGAAATACATTGACTCATCCGATCGACACGAAGCACAAAAAATAATTAACTTAAAAACAAAAGAAGCAAGGTGTCGATCCAAGAGAAATCGCAGTCACTGAAAGCTAGTTCAATTAAAATAGATAAGTGTATCAATCAATACAAATTCAAGGCATTTAGTATAAATATGTCACTTTCTGAGAAAAGTATGACTGTGTAAAAAAAAGATAAGTGCATAATATCGACAGGATGTAGGACCACCAGTTTTCATTATTTAGTTATGTTAAAATTTATCAAAAACAAAATCAATATTAATACCGATCAAAAACACATTCGAAGCTCTAACTACGATATTAAATGGTATTCAGTAAGAATCAATAAGTATACATGGATAGTATTTTCTTAAGTAAGTACGTTCTTTATGAACAACATTACCGTAGAAATTAGAATGTGGTATCTCGTTTTTTTTAAGAATTCTACAGATACAACCAAATTTCAATTCCAAATCTTTGCATTTATGAAATAATTTAGTAAGGTTCTTAGTCATTTATGGTAACGAAACCCTTGACGTAATAATTTACCAGTTATACAAAGATTATATAATGTTCGTTGAAATAAATAAAAAAAAACGTCACTACAGATATTGGGCAAAGCGAACTAGTTGGGAAATATACGCATCGTAAGAAGAGACCAACGTTGTGTTGTAGGCGTTCTTTCATTCCACCGCGTGTTTATTCCGGCCAACTATTATTAACTAGAGACTATTGTATGTAAATGGTGCGAAAACCGTTGTTTATGTTTATGGTAGACTGGTATATTGTTACATAAGGTAGCACTACAGTCAGAATTTTCTGACTCCAACTAACAGTCTTTAAAGATTAATTTCTCCAAAACTACTCAACGGATTTTTAAAATCTTTAACTCATTTTAAAGCTGAAATATTACTCTTTCTTAATCTATAGCTGAATTTATTTTTGGTATGATTAATCTCAAAATATAGCTCATTAAATGCCAAAAAAGTGCTCTTCCAACTTGGATTCAAATGGCACAATCAGGTCAAATAGTAGTAAAAATTTGTTTTCATCCCTTTAATCAACCATACACAATCTACAAATCCGTGTCTCAGATTTTTGATATATGCCTCCAGTAAGAAGATATATTGATTTAACTGCTGGGTGCCAAACCTAATTTCACCTTTCATCTTTGGAGACCTATAAATTCATTTAGAAACAAATTATCCAAAAACTGGGACACGGTATTGTAGAAAATACTCCCTTTAATCACATATATCAAAGTCAAGCCAAAGGGGGTACCCATAAAGTTTCTACTTTCATTTTTTGCCACCAATTCTCATGAAAAATTGTTCTGAGAAATCACCTAAAAACTGAATTTCCCCCTTAGAACCCCTATAAATGCAACATAAATACAAAAATGCCACTGGGAACACCCCAGGAGTGTTCTGACACCATTATTACATCAATAGAACCACACAGTTTGTGTCTTTGATGCTCTAATACTGTAAATTTTGAATTCTAAGTGCACTGACCAACACTAACTTGGCATTTGGCGGGAGTTTGACGTCACAGATTTGACCAACATCTGTGATGTAGTAATTAAATATAGACAAAGCTCCGCCTCTGTCCAGACAGTCTTAGATAAGGGAATAACAGGATTGACCAGCTGCATATAATCAATATTTGCCATTATTATTCTGGCTATAAATAATAATTTTCATTTGTATTCTAAAAAGAAATATACTTTGAAATTAGCTAGAACATTAAAATTGTGCAATAAAAGACATGTTCATAAAAAGATCAAGACCATCCCCTTCCTGAAAATAGACTGTCCCACATGATTTTTGGGTTTTATGGAAGTGAAAAATTTCACATATTAAAACTTAATATTTGATTAAAATGCCTAAAGCTCCTAACAGAAGACATGCTCATCATTTAAATTTAGAAGATCAAAGAGACGAATTTATACAGGCTGTAAGAAATGTTGGGTAAGTTACTTTAACTATTTATTTATTTTCTGTTAAAAAATGATAATAAGTAAAACAGTTTAAACTACATGCAAGACATCTGAGCAAAACTTTTAATGATGCTAGTATCTAATAGTAATTTTCATTCATTGATTAATTTAAATTAATTATAATATTAAATAAAAAAGTAACTATATAAAAAAAAATTCTCAGATATGATGGGGAAATGTTTGCCACATTGCTGCAAGAGGAAGTAAACTCACAGAGGAGAAGAAACAGGGGAGACAGAAAATTAAGATGGGTGACATACTGTCACTGGGCTTATGCTTTGAAGGTAAGACTGTTACTTTTAAAAAAAATTATCAAGTAATTTACAGTATGAGTAGATTGTCTTATCTGTCTACCTGAAGTCTTTCTTTGGCTATTCAGCATTCATAGAATTGTAATGCCAAGAGCAGTTAAATTAAAAAAAAATCATTATTGGAAAAGGAGGGGTGGGGTTCATGTTGTTTGTAGGTTTGTCTTGGACTTAGTGAATTAAATATTTTTGTGGTTGGTTTTGCAATTTTTTGTTATTCCTTCTAATGTTTATTTGAATACTAATTTGTGTTTCTTCAATCTAATGTAATATTTTGATTAATTTATATAATATTTTTGTTATACAACAGGATTCTGAAATTGGACCAGACGATGCCCAGTATGCATGGCCAAAGGTGGTGCTGAACTATCTTCGTTCTCTAGCACCACTAGACATCAAAGGAGAGATAAAAAAGGTGAGATGATAAACTGATTAGTGACAGAAATGTAGATCAATGGATACAATTCTCTCTACATATTATCAAAATATTATTGGTTGGGCAGCAGGACATGTTTACCCTATCATTTGTGTTTATAATTTAAAAATGAAACCCCCCTTTTCAAATCTATTATGATCATTTTGATGAGTTCACTCACATATTTTATACATAAGTTCAATTTTTAGAGGTTAAAAAAAAAATAAAGAAATGAAAGAACAAATTTATTTTTGTCAAAAAGTAATTGTTTTCTCTTTTTTTTGTAGGATGCATTTCCTGTGACAATGGAAATCTTCTGTAGTATAGTGGCTGAGAACAAATATGCAGTGACAAAAATAAATTGATATACACAATAAAACAATTGTTACTTATTTACATTTGAAAAGAGAAAGAAATAGGTCCATGCACTTATTATAATTGAAAATGTTTATCTTTATATCATTGAATTTGATTTCTTTGGCGAGTTTGTTTTTTGTGGCCTTTCATGGGTTTTCCACATGTTTTGCATTTAGGCTGTCTCTTCCCCTTTTCACTTGGATTGTCTGAAGTACTAGATTTATAGTACTTGTCTTTGGCATAACTGTCATCATATTGGAGTGTATCTTGGTGTTGTGCTTCCATAGCTTTCAATTGTTTTCTCCGTTTCTTTCCCTTCTCACTTGCTTTGTACAAAGAATGTCGAATTCTGGAAGAATCAATGTTAATCCACAACCGCTTATTATTGTCCCCTACACTGATATTTGCCTTTTCAAAAAGTTTAGTATTAAAATTTTCCATACCACTATTGAAATGTCCCACGGCTAGTGCTGTACCAAGCTGAATTTCCCCTGCACTATGATATTCTCCTTTTGGCAAATAGCTCCAAATAACATGATGAAGTGATTCATTTTGATTTTGAGTCAAACATTTCTCAGCGCCGGAAAGCAGTTTTTCATCAGACAGTTTTTCGAAAACTGGTTTTAGTATTTGGACTACAACTTCAGATAATGGATTTTTGAGTGGTCGGTAGGTTGATGATCCACGGTTTTTGTCAACTTGCCATTTACACCAAGAAGTATCTCCTTCAGGACAAAAGTGATGCATAGGAGTTTCTCCTGTGCTGGCATAATGAAATAATATAGCCATTACATTTTGTCTCATTGCATTTACATTACCCTTGTTGTTTCTTATTGCCATCCCGTAAAAGGTTTGGAAACTGTTCATCAATTTGTTTGTAAGTCGACCTTTGCCTGTAAGTTGCTTTCCATCTTCAAGTTTTCTTCCTGAAACATTAAAATTTGATTAAATTTTCATTACTAAATAAATACTTTTAGGGAAATGTATGAGTCTGTAACTTCTTGATCTAAAAATGTTGCATATTAGCAATTGAAATGTAAAGTACATAATTAAATTTAATCCTAAATGCTATGAATTGACTAAGAACTGAATGAATATAATATTCAAAACTTTAGTGAATTATTTCTATTCAGAACAAAGAGCAATTTATGTATTCTATCAAAATATGCAAAATGCACAAATAAAATGTGCATCATGGTGGCTACAACATTATATAAGTGGAACTTTTCCTTTGCATAATATAACAATAAGTAAACATTAAACCAAAAAAAAAATAGGTTGACAATATAAAACTTTCATTTTTCAACATGATTCTGATATCAGTTATTAATTATCTGGTCGGTTATGTTTTGTTTGTCCATGATGATAAGAGCTTAATTAGCATAGATGTACATACAGTTCCCCACTGTGATACATGTATACAATATGGTTTATCTCTATATTATTTGTCAAACAGACATCATATATTTGCACTGGCAACTTTAGATTTTGATGATTAAAAAAAAGGGGGAGGGTAATACAATGTACTGTACCGTACCTTTATACTGATCAACTAGCCGCCTAAGGTGTTTGCCCATTCGCCCTTGTATATGTCCAACACAGTCCTCTTTTGCAATTATTATGTTAGGGCCATACGGTCTAGAATCTACTACATTTCCATAGGCTGAACTGTCACCATCACCGACATATGTTGTATATTGAAGACTGTGCTTTTCTACTGAGCGCCGGAAAAGTATTACAGCACCTTGTGCCTCCATTGTCTTAGCTGATCCATCATGGTTCAATGTGCAATCTTTCTCGTGTTCAACAAACCATTGCAAAAAATCCCTAGTGTGAGTTTTTCCTTCTCTTTCCCATTTCTTACATGACTTGCATTCATTTGATAATGTCACATAATCTAACACCTTTCCTGTGTCAACAGAAATAACGCTTACAAAGCCAAATCTAGAACTATATCCGACATGTGCCCATGATCCATCTACAGAAACGGAACATTTACAATCTCCATTTCCATCCCAACCGGACTTTCTTTTCAATTGCTGAATTTCCTCAGCTGCTTCAGACAGATTTTCCTCAATTATTTCAGTGGCAATTTCTTTCCACGTCTCCGTATGCTTTTTGTAGGGTCCATAATTTACTGGACTTGGTAGATCAAGTATGGAACAGAATTTTAGAAGTGCATTTCTAGATTTGCCCATCATGCGCATTGCTAAAACTGAAAGACGGTTCACATTGTGTATTTTACTATATTCAAAGTTTCCCTTTCCGTCAGTATCAAACACTGTATTTGAATTACACTCATTACATGTCAATGCTAATTTCAAGCATAGTCCACTTTTGTTGTTTTCACTTGTATCAATGACATTTAATTCTCCAGTTTTGCAAGTACTACATACAGCAGCCTGGTTAATTTTTTTCTGCAAAATCTCCAGTTGTATAAATGCACGGCCAGTTACACTTGCATCCTCTTGATCGTCACTAGAAATATCAGAGTCTGAAATGTTTTCAATGTTGGAATTCACTTCCCATGATATGTTCATTTCTTTGTCACTCTCATCATCATCATCATCATCATCATCATCATCATCATCATCATCATCATCATCATCATCATCATTAGCGGCAGCAGCAGCAGCAGCAGCAGCAGCAGCAGCAGCAGCAGCAGCAGCATTGTCTTCAACTTCAAATGACTGTTCAAAAGGTGATGAAAGTTTCAGAAAAGAAACACTACTATTTAGATTATTTTTCTCTTTTGAATGAAGACTGCTGTCACTGTTGGTAGTGTCAGATTCAGAGACATATTCTTCTTGTTTGTAGTAAGAACCTTTGTCAGAGGCCTTCAAAGATAATTTCACACTCTTATTCATAGTTTTTTTCATTTTGGAAGATTTTCTCCTTTTAGTTTTTTTCCTTTTCATATCTTTTTCCTTTTCTCTATTTACTTCCATGTTATATAAATTACAGTTACAATGAGATAAGACCACAATATTTATCTTGTGGTCAAGGATTAACAGCTGGACACTGGTATCAACAGATGATTGACATAATAGCTCCTCCCAAATGATCATATATTTAGATTAATTACCATGTGCCTTTATTTACATAAGTTCATTATCAATTTACTCCCTGTTGTGATATGATAATGACTTTGGGATTTTTACAAACTGTGCAGAATGATACTTACTTCAAAATTATGTGATAAAAAAAATATCTTCAAAAAATCATTGTTAGACTGTAGTGCTACCATAAATCAATGTGTTAAATTGAGAATAATGTTCAGGGAACTAGTTTAATTCATCTGAATCAATCCAGTGTTTTTGTTGGTGGATATAAAACACTAGGAATTTTCATCCTTCGTATAAAGTACACTGGCGGAAATAGATCACTGTTACAGTATCACCGTCCAAAAAAAAGAAAACTAGCAATAGGGAACGAAAATTATCTCTTTTGACGTAAATTTTTGTTTCAATTTCCCTTGTGAAACTAAAATATCCAAATCTAGAAAAAGTACAAGTATTGCTGTTTATATTAAGATTTATTCAAAGTAAGTACCCTGGTTCAAATTTTCGCAGTATAATTATAGAATTCTTGATTATTTAAAGAAAAATATCATCAAGGTAACGGTAAGTGTTATTGAATTTATCAATTCAATTGAATGTAGACAGATCTTTACTGATTTTGGACATGCACTGTCGTTCATAACAATACAGGAACAAGTCTGCTATTAAATGGGCACGATTTGTACCAATATGAATCCATACAACATGACGACAAACTTTATTGCCGAAACGTACATTAATGTTGTCTAGGAGAAATCTTCTCATCATAGTTACAGTTGTATATCTGTCATATTAACCTTTTTCAATACAGATTAGGGCTTTGGATAAGTTGCTGCATATTAATCTGTTATAAAATAGTAATTTCTTTCTATATATAAAATAAATGACTTGATGGCATAATGTTTTTGAATAAAAACATCTCAGTCAACTTTTTATTAACAAAATGGTTGATAACTAACTTAGTAATGTTTCACTTATTAAATAAAGTATACGTTGTTAACACTTATTTGCTGATTTAAGATATGAATGTATAAAGGTAGCAAAACAGTTGAAGGTTACTGCTATTTTACGGGAATGATATATAGGTTTTAAGCAACTGTAAGTATAATTACACTGTCGTGAAGATTAAATAATTTACAAGAAGTGAATACATCCGATCTGCTATATTTTTATTTAAATTAAGTGTAACTTAACAAAGAGAGGTAACTTAGTTTATTCTGATACCGTGATTTTCCGCCATCAAATACGAGTTAATATATGTTGCAATATATACTCTCCATTCTTTTCCGTTTTGTGAAATTTTCACTGAATTTTACTCACACGATGTATTTTTGCATCTATTTCATTCCTTCATCTGAATATTTTTTACAGTTCGATTCGGCATGAAATGGACTTTATCATATCAGCACACTATGCTACTTCATTTTCTCGCATTTTGGTTCGTTTGTTTAAGGAACATGCAATGAAGTCCACCCAAATGATTTTCCCCATGCATAGTTATTTCCTGCTACATTAATATGAACAATTAGTAGAAATATGAAGCAATAAATCATTTTTCAATGAGGTGTCAAATTATTGAAATTTAATCAATATATTATGAGCTATCTACTTTGAAATCGACTTCTGATTGCATCATGCACATTTCACTTATATAATTTCGCGTGATACTGTATATCTGCTGACATGTTATGTTTTAAGTTTTACTTTCAGATTTAAAATGTTAATATTCGGCTTTTATCATTCATGATGAAGGTAAATTTAGAAAAACTCATTAGATGCATAAAATGTATAAAGTGTTGATTTCATATTTTACAGCATATGGTCGAGACAGCTGATTGTGGAATATAAGTCCACGAGGGTATCGTCAGCTCACTAGTATGTACTTTGGTAATGACATGATTTATAACAAACCTTTCTTAAATTGTCCGTTTATAAATTTTAAAATTATAAAGAAACTACGGTTTCAACTCCCTCAGCCAAAGTTGACCTTAGATGGATTCGGACATTATTCTATGATCCGTTTTGTTCATCTAGCTCTTCAAAAGAGGGACGAAAGATACCAGAGGGACAGTCAAACTCATATCTATCGAAAACAAACTGACAACGCCATGGCCAAAAATATAAAGACAAACAGACAAATAATAGTACAGATGACACAACATAGAAAACTAAAGACTAAGCAACACGAACCCCACCAAAAACTGGGGGTGATCTCAGGTGCTCCGGAAGGGTAAGCAGATCCTGCTCCACATGTGGCACCCGTCGTGTTGCTTATGTTATTACAAATCCGGTAAATAGTGTAATTCGGTAGGTCACATTCGTGAAAAGGGAAGGGTATTGTAGTTACGACATAAGGAACATATCCGATATCATCTGTGAAACGGTTATTCCATAACGGTCAACCAACTCGTGATGGCGTCCGTAAAATTTACGAAGGGATGATTTCAACTTCACCATTTGGAACTTTTGGTTTAATAGCTTCCTTGTGAGCAGCAATCCTCTATCAAGGAAATCATGATAGGAAATACAAGCGCGGGAATATCGTATCAACTGGGAGATATATACTCCGTATGCAGGCGCTGCTGGAATGTTGCTACATAGAAATGGAAAGTTCACAATTGGGAAGCTAAAATCATCTCTTTTGTCGTAAAGTTTTGTTCTCAACCGACCCTCATTGTCAATTTCTAGATGTAAGTCAAGATATGAGGCAGACTTAACTGTATCTGTAGTATCCTTTATCTCTAGTTCGATTGGATAGATTCGTTCAACATAGTCACCAAATTTTGTATTATTTAGTGAGAGAGCATCATCTATATAGCGGAACATAAAGTTAAAGGATATTGCTAACTTCTTATCTTTCTTCCTAAGAAGTTCCTGTATGAATTCAGCCTCATAATAATAAAGAAACAAGTCAGCAAGAAGAGGGGCACAATTGGTTCCCATTGGAATTCCGACAGTCTGTTGAAAAACACGTCCTCCAAACGTAACAAACTGTTGGTTCTTATACATGCTTGTCTTTCAAATATACGGCTTTGAGTGTTCCTGGTAAAAATAAATCCAGCTAAGTGCTTCGGACGCAGGAAATATATAAAGTGTTGTTTTCATTTTTTTTAATAACATATACATTTTATTTGTTAATATAGAATTGCATGTTGTTTTTGATTTAACTTATTCGAAATAAAAGTAAGCGATAATCGTATTTCTAACAAGAAGCACTTCCGCGCTTCATGCAACAAGCGATCGTCATTTGTTTTCATATCGCATAAATTAAAAAAAGACAGCTTTCAATTCTACATTGAAGGTTAATTGATGGTTAGAAATATTTGACCTACATACTAATAATAATAATAATAATAATAATAATAATAATAATTATTGTAATAATAATAATAATAATAATAATAATTATTGTAATGGTAAGCTGAACCTATTTCTTATGAATTGTGTTACCTGATTATCTCTACTAGGTGTCAGGCTAGTAAGAACACTAGTGTTTATGTGTTTTCTTTTGACATTATCATATCAGATCCTTTAATAAGCTTATTTTTTTATTATATTAAACTTCCGAGATATAATCCATTCTCTTGATTCGGTGTGAATGAGAATTAAATAAAACGCAACAACAGAGGAATTCAACATTCCTGCACATCTTTATATGATTTATCAAGATTTTTAGCAATATATCCAGGGAAATGATGTAATGATGATATATTACCTATGCATCTTTTATTTAAAGGCTTTCAATTGTATGATACTTATTTTGATAGGCATGACACATGTTTGCAACAAAAAATTTGAAAATAAGCGTGAAGAATGATTAAATAATTGAGCGTGCCTGATGAAAGCAAAAACAGAAAGGTGCTTCGGACGAACGAAATTAATAAAGTATCATAATGGTCACCAATATATAAATGAAGAGATGTGGTTCAAATGACACTGCACACTGTTCACCAGAATTAAAATGAAGTGATTGTAAGCATGTGTTGGCCACAGTACGTCCCGCATACAATGGGAAAAACCCATACTGTATAGTCGGCTTTAAATGGTCCCGACATGAGAAATGTGAAACAAACCAAACGAGAAAATTAACAAAACAATTTACAAAAAACAAATATGACAGACATAGTTTATAACGATACATCAACAGAACACAATATATGGTAAGGCGTACTTATATGAATTGATTACATTTGTACAATCTGCATTCTTAGGTTTGATTTCTATATTAGTTGCACATACAAAATATAACATCTTTTTGAGAGATTCAAAATTTTGCAGTTTTTAAAATGCTTTCTAAAATCTATAACGAATTCCAAGAAAATATGTAATGCCTCATCTTTCCATTGGCTACCTCATTAACAAGTTGTATTTAAACCATCAAAAAATTATCTAGACGTTCATGACTAAGAATGAACATGTCAATGAGGTTATCCTTTGCAAAAATTGTTTCAATTGCACATGTTCGGTCCTTGCTACGAATGTGTAGAGTTTTCTGTTTTATGCCAATAGATTTTATCACTATCATCTTTATACGTAGGACTGTGTAGAAGCTTGTCATTCCAATCCGGCCAGTATTTGTTTTTCATTCGCTCACAATATGAAACCAAATTACAAAGTTCTTCTGGAAAAAAAATAAGAATTTCATAAGATTAGTATGTATATTTTTTCTTTGCGAATATATGTTTAACTCTAAATCAGTCACGTTGTAACTGTGGTGTGTCGTTTCCTGTTTACCCCCTCCAATGTGAATAACAATATAAATGTCGAGGTTTCTAAACTGAAAGTTTACTTATTTATATATCACTTTTTGTTACGATTTATGAGTGATTGAACTTTTGTTTTACATCAGATTTTATTTCCAATTTACTAATACAATTTCAAATATATTGAGTAATGCTCCTTTTGAACTTCGCTACGAAACATCTATGAGGTAGTTGTATTTCTTCAATGAGGGTTTCCCCTTCTTTAATGAAAAGGTTGAAGTGTAGAGTCAACCAAAAAAATTAGAAACGCACTGTATGCGTACATCCATTAATGCGATTGTTGATCAATGGACAAACATGTGGGATTAATTAATACGATATTAGGAATTGCTGCTTACAAAAAAGGCTATCAATTTCTAAAATGCGAGTTTTTATTTCGCGAAACCTATCCGGTTGCAACTTTCGCAATAATGAAACACGGCAAAACGATAGTTTAAGATTCTGGTGTATATCTTTTTGGTAGATAGTTTTTATGCACATGCAGCAAAGTTTTTTTAACATTTTAGAATATGTTCGGAAATCGTTCCTTATATCAGTATAATCTCAAAAATTTGCATTTATTTAATGAATGATGCTTTTTTTCACAAAAACTTTTGTTATATGATTTATAAAGAAAACAAGTTAAAGGGCAGTATTTCTGTTTGCCTAATTCATACGTTATTTCCTATTCATCTGATCTAACTTATCTCTTGATGTGCCCAATAGTTTCTGTATTTTAAAGTGATATCATTGGGATATTTATTCTAAAATGCATTAGCTAGATTTCTTTGCCAGATTAAATTAATAATTAGTTAATATAACCCGGTAGATAAGAAAAATCTTTCTAATGCCATGTTTTGTCTGGGAGTAAATCATCATAGTTCTATTTAAAAAAAAACACATTTTATAAACAGTTACATTATATCAAATAACCGTATCAATGATATTTCAGATCAACACAAGAGCAATGACCTGTGTTGATGATTAATTCGGGGTCGAAACGTCCAAAAACTTTGTTGCACAGATGTAGTATGACCGGAGGTGTTTGTGCCATTTTTTGGACCTCACTGTTTATCTGAAATGAAGAACAGCGATTCAAGCCCTGAGCTTTCTTTTCTTTAAGATTAACATCATATTACTTGTGTATCGATATGAAATAAATTTGAGTCTCTCATTATAGATGTTTCTCCGTTGAAATGAATCGCCATTAATGACTTTCCAGTAAAATAACTATCCAATTAAGTACATTTGTCATTCTCTGTTTTACCAATACTTCATATGGATCAAATGAAACATTTATTAGATATGTTAGTTTATACCTATTTCTCAGTTGGTTCGATAATGACGTGTTCTCATGCTTAGATTTCTTGAACGTTATATTTTCATCTCTAATTTACTCATACAATGATTAATAGACATCGTTTATCAGTCAAATCTTTTTCCAAATATTATCATAAAAACTAACAGTGTAAATGTAATCCCTCTTACACATAAATTTTTGGTAATCTAGTACTTCATATTTGTCGGTATTAGAGTGAAGGAATGTAAACGAATAATACGGATTTCAATGCATACGATATATGGGCGTTTTTCAAAAAAATGTCCACGTTCTCTGTCCAGGGATCAAATTGTGATAAAATCATATATATTTCATTCTTTTTTGTCTCAGTTTATAAATTGTACTTATTAAAGACAACGACAACACTTGTTGGCTGCTTTTTGGTAAGGACTCTGAAAATATCAGACCAAAGGGCTCAAAAACAGCAAAAACGCTCTGTCCACATTTGAAAGTTTATTCAAATTTTCAAAATTTCATACAATTTACCAGTCTTTTTTGTGCCTTTTTCAATGTTTTATCGTAGAGATACATCTGAACATTACAAAAAGTATTCAAATATTTAGATAAGTTTAAATAGATTTGTGCTAGTATCTTTTTAAGTGGCGTCCATGAAAAATGTCGACTTCGCAACGACAACAAACAATTGGCAAAATCATATCCACTCTTTTATTTAAATTGTAGTCTTTCCTTTAACTTGCCACAAATACAACTTCATTTAGTAAAATGGCGGTCATCTATGGATGCTGGTGATATAGTTCGTCTGCATTGAATCAATTGGCAAGTCCTATTGATAGCGTACTTTTTTACTTGTCCACTTTGCAACGTCTTTTTTAAAGAAATGTTGACCTCAAGTCATAAAAAAACGTGGAGTTTATGAAATAAAATATATTGTCTAAGACAATAATCATAAAAACATGTATCTGAGAAACCGCGTGTAACAACAAAGGCTGCTAAAATGTAAATAATTCCACTGCGCAACGGTCCACTACGCAACATTTCATTGCGAAGTGGACACATATCGTTTCATAGGGGACATATATCGTTACGCAGTGGACATATGTGAATATTTTAAATACGGCTTGTAATATTTTCTAGTAATTAAAATTGCAAATCAAATAGTTAAATCGTATCAAATCATTTATTTTTTCAGATTTTGAAGAAAAAATACCTTTCAATTCTGATTTTATAGCATGGTAGAGCCTTTAAAAAATCATGGTATTCAATGTTCACTTTTACAGACTTGTTGTCAAACTTACGCTTCAGTTTTTTAAGGTTGCATATTTTGTATTTAGTGTATACTGATGTTAAAGTATTGACATGTATAATTTAATCAATTATTTCCGAACACTTTTTTTTTCATTTTCCAGTTGTCAAAAATGGACATTTTTTGAAAAAGGCCCACATATTTTTGTAAAAGCAATCATTGTCTCGCGCGATCTACTCTCAAAACCGAGAAAATACATGATATCTGTATCAATCAATTTGACACTGTAAGCTTGGTTTCAGTTAGTGAAAACGTAATTTGATACAAAATGCCGTGCTGTGTTACTTGTAGCTGTGTATATATATCAGTGTATTATTTTTCTAGCTTTGCAAAAGTAATTAAGGGGAAATAGTAGTTTACCGACGTTCAAACTTGATTGTGCACCTTTCCAGTAGTGCATGCCTTTAGATTATATATATACCAATTGATACGATATCCCAGATCTTGCGTTTTATTATATGATTTTCTTGATAGTGTGTTGCTGCTTACAAGGAAGCTATTGAACCAAGGGTTCCTAGTGGTAAAGTTAAAGTCATCCTTTTGCATCCCTTTTGCATCCCTTTTACAGCCATCACCATGAGTAGGTTGACCGTTGTGAAATATATATGTGCTTCAGATGACGACTGATATGTTCCGATTGCCGTAGCCACAATCCCTTCCTCTTATCCCCGATCGTGGCATTACTGAATTGAGTCTTGTTCGCGAATTTGTTCTTATCATAAGCAACATTCATTTTACCGAAAAAAGACGAAGTTTTTAGTCGTCAGCGTTTCACTTTGACACTGACAGAGGCAATCATAGCTAAAACTAAAGGTTCCTTTGAACCCTTTACGATTTTTGGGGTTAAGAATGCATTGGCTGATATTCCGAAAGATATTGCTGATTGGAACAATTTTTAGTCATTTGCAGAGAAAATCTGTGTAATATGTTAACTCGAGAAACATGATTTCATGTTCATATAATTCGTCCAAATGTCATTCATTTTATATATAATTCATGTTTAAAGAATTCATCATGGCGGCTCCTTTCGTGTAAAATTTAAGTTTCAACTAGCAGATTGAAAAAAGATATACAGAATCTTAGTAAACCAAACCAACAACAAAAAATGCATATGAAAGAGGAGTTTTTCTTCGTATATATAGCATTGATCGAGATAAAGATGTAGGGTTGAGTATTCACAAAATTTTACTATCAAAAAACCTCATCAAACATGCCATAAAAGAATTTCAAATTGTTGAGCAAAATCTTTCTAATGCCATGTTTTGTCTGGGAGTAAATCATCATAGTTCTATTTAAAAAAAAATTAACATTTTAAAAACAGTTAAATCATATCAAAGTACCGTATCAATGATATTTCAGATCAACACAAGAGCAATGACCTGTGTTGATGATTAATTCGGGGTCGAAACGTCCAAAAACTTTGGAATAGGTCTAACCCAGAAAAAAGCGCTTCGGACGTACCTATTTGGTAAAGTGTAATTTTTCATTTTGGAGAGCACTGAAAACAAAGTATTCAAAACAAACTTGTGCCAAATCTTTCTTGGGACATATTTGCCAGGGAGTGAAAAAACTTTTAAGTGATTTTAACTTTCTATAAACAGTTAATGTAAATAAAATGACCGTATCAGTAATATGTCAAAGTCAGCATAGCAACGACTGCTGGGCTGGTGATACCCTCATGATGAAACGTTCACAAGCATTGGCATGAACCCGGTGTTTGTAAAAACTCATTAAAAATACAAGGGTAATAGTTCAATACGACAGGCATGCGTTTCGTCTACATAATACTCATCAGTGGCGCTCGAATAAAAAGCGTTCTTGTGCTTATCAAAGACGCATCAAATAAATTAAACCGTATAATTCAACTATCTTAAGATTGCCTGACTACACTATCGATGTGATTACGATACCTTCATTTTGAGGTTCATATAATCTTTGAAGTTTTCAGTTCGGCTAATTTGTTTTTGAATTTGGCTTTTATTTTTAGGTCCTTTTGGTCATATAGCTCTTCAACTGTTTCGGTTCTTATACATCCTTGGCTTTCAAATATTCTGCATTCAGTGTTCCTGATGAAGGCAAATCGAGAAAAAGCGCTTCGGAAGCATGAAAGTTATTAAGTGTTGTTTTCATTTTCTTCAATGATAAGCTCCAGTATAGATTGGTTCTTACAGTAAAATTATTAGTGAATAAATACCTGTGACAAGTTTTTGATGTTTTGATCCAGGCATGTTGTATATAATCATGACCAACATACCAAACAATACACAATCAACTTCACAAGGCTCATCACCCATGAAGAATTTCTTTACACCTACAACAGAAATATACAATGTATGATGGGTAAAAAAACTAATTGATCTTAATATAAACTTATGATTAACAATGCTACTGCTAGATTTTCTTCTCTCTCTCAAACACTTATACTATTGTAATTTTTTTCTGATTGTAATGAGTGTTTGTTTGTGATTGGTGATAACTTTCTAATATTTAATTAAATGTGGAACTTCTCTTGTCACCTTTAAATTGTGTTAACTAGAAACCCGTCTCTCCAGACAAACTAAGTTATATTGTTGCATAAGTATTTCATTTGAGTGTGTGTATGTGTGTCATTAAGCAAATAACTCACAAGAATCATGTTACGTCCCAAGTATGTGCATCTTTCCAAGTCAAATATTTGTGTGTGTTGTCGCCGTATTTTTTTGTAATTTGTCCATTCAAAAGTTTCTTTCATGTTAGGGTTGATTTAGAACTTATTCATTGGAAATGACAGCTTTTACTCTTGGTAAAACAAATTTAAAAGTAATCACTCATATTCCATATTTCCTCTGAGCTGCTATTGCCTCAAACATTGATACTATCTCTTTTAGATTTATCTTAACATCCTCCTACTAAATGGAGGTAATTTTATGAAACTTTATATAATAGCATGCAAATGTTACCTAGGAAATTACTAATAGCAGTCATATCATGGACAGCGATTTCCCATACTTCGTCGGGTGTATGTCGCCCAATTCCTTGTCCCCATGTCTCCTGTTTTATTACTCGCTTTAAAAACTTTACCGTTAACCATAATTTAAGGCCAGTATAAGGTATGGTGGATGATACTGCTGACACGTCTCCCCCAAATGATTCAATACACATTGTCCTAAAAAGTAAGCAAACATGATAAATCACGTGTGAAAATATAAGGCAATCATCTGACAGACTGAGACTGAGACAATATTCTGCTTTGAGCGTTCCTGATGAAGGTAAATCCAGAAAAACGCTTCGGACGCATGAAATTGTTTAACGTGTTGTTTTCATTTTTTTTAATAAATTCCTTAAAGTCGACTGAGTATATGCAATACATACATGACTATGCGGTATGGGCTTTGCTCATTGTTGAAGGCCGTACGGTGACCTATAGTTGTTAAATTCTGTGTCATTTTGTCTCTTGTGGAGAGTGTCTCATTGGCAATCATACCACATCTTCTTTTTTATATGTATCTCACTAGAAAATATGTATTGTCAAAAAACTATGCCAAAATTACGTAAAATTGGATCTAAATGCCAACAAAAAAAACACGTCAAAAAACATAATTGCAACACAATATAGTACAGTATATGCAAGAGTCGACATACTATATGTAATGTTTACATCAAAGTTGCAAGACAATATTCAATAAATGCAATAAAATTAACCATCTATATGAAGTTGATAAACGGCGGTGAATATGCTTTGTATACGTATTATGTCATCAGACAATATGAACTATATATCAAAACTTCATGAATTATCACTTAAACGCCGTTAGACACAATGATTTGTATACCAAAAATTCGTAGGACAATTATGCACAACATAATAACGTTATGAGGCTGACTTCATCCAGGCGCTTCTTATAAAGAATAAAAAGAAACATTATCCTTTAACTTCACTTTCCGTAAATTATAAATGATGTCATCCTACTAAATAATTCAAAGTTTGGTGACTATGTTAACGCATCTATCCATCGAACTTGAAATAAAGGATGCAACAGATACAGTTAACTCTGCATTATATCTTGACTTACATCTGAAAATTGACAACGAGGGCCGGTTGAGAACAAAACTCTAAGATAAAATTATTGATTTCAGCTTCCCATTGGGAACATTCAATTTCTATGTAGGAAAATTCCAGCTGCGCCTGCATATGGAGTATATATCTCCCAGTTGATACGATATTTCACAGCTTGCATTTCCTATCATGATTTCCTTACTTGAGGGTTGCTGCTCACAGGGAAGCTATTAAACCAAGAGTTCTAAGTGGTGAAGTTTAAATTATTCCTGCGAAAATTTTAAGGAGCCATCACGAGTTGGTTTAGCGTTATTGAATATTTGTTTCACAGATGATGACGGATATGTTCCAGCTGTCGTAACCACAATCGCGTCCTCTTTTCGTCGAATGTGACCTTCCAAATTAGACTTATCGCCGGATTCGTACTTGTTTCTAAATGACCAACATTGCGGCTGCCACATGTGGAGCAGGATTTGTTTACCCTTCCGGAGCACATGAGATCACTCCCGCTTTTGGTTGAGCTCGTGTTTTAAATTTCAGCAGCAATATTAAGACTTTAAAAGTAATGTATAATAATTAACAATGTTACTTTTTAAAATCTAAAAATATGTGTTTGATTGGTTCTCCTGATTTAATGCTAGAGGAATTTGTTTGACGAACTAGCTGATCCTTCTATTGTCATTTTATATTGTGTAAACGAATGAATGTAATAGCGGGCTATTGTGCGAAATTGGCGCACTAAAGAATTTACATAGTATTGTAGAAATATATCATTACGCTTTAGATACAGTGTATGTGCCAACCATTTCGATTAAGCATTGTTTTCATGTTTTAAGCCATGATTATACCTACTCAGAGGAGAAATTAAAATATTAGACAAGAGGCATATTTTCCTCGTCTGCATCTTTCTGGTCCAAGGGGATCCGATGACCGACAAAATATAATTTCTTAACTAGATTTTCAAGAATTCTACTATTACGCAAGGAGTTGAAAAACGTAACATATAAAATAACACATTCTGTGGGATGAATTTAGTTTTTTCTACTATAACAAATAAACTGCAGTTATTCCTACCAGTACAAGTTTTCCTCTGTTAGTCTTTGGAAAGCTTTGGCTACACTGGTCTCGTCTTTATTCAAGTGTGTGTTTACGTCAACCTCTTTCTCTTTCTTCAAATATTCTATACAGAACTGCGAGTCAGCTATTGGCTTTCCATTGTACTCCATCCAAGGTGTTTTGCCTTTTGATGAAAACTTGCCACTGTGATCATTCTGTGTAGTATAAAAAGATAACATTTATGAACATTTATTGAGAATGAATAAAATGCTTCGCTGGGCGCAGCTTGATACGACCGCAGAGGTCGAAACCTGAACAGTTGGGGCAAGTATGGACACAACATTCAAGCTTGATACAGCTCTGAATTTGGATTGTGATTAAATATTTGACACAGCATAGGTTTCTGACACAGAAAGAATGTGGTCTAAGAACTTCAATTTTTTTAATTTACCTATTATGGTCCAATGTCCAAAATCAAAATACATGGTTAGATTCAGCATATCAAAGAACCCCATATATTCAATTTTTGTTGAAATCAAACAAAGTTTAATTTTGGACCCCAACTTGGAACAACTTGAAAACTGGTCCCGTAATCAAAAATCTAAACACATGTTTAGATTCAGCATATCAAAGAACCCCAAAAATTTAATTTTTGTTAAAATCAAAATAAGTTTAATTTTGGACCCTTTGGACCTTAATGTAGACCAATTTAAAAAACGGGACCCAAAATTAAAAATCTAAATACACGGTTAGATTTGGCATATCAAAGAACCCCAATAATTCAATTTTTGATGAAATCAAACAAAGTTTAATTTTGGACCCTTTTGACCTCAATATGAACCAATTTGATAGCGGGCCCACAAATAAAAAATCTAAATACATGGTAAGATTCAGCATATCAAAGAACCCCATATATTCAATTTTTGTTGAAATCAAACAAAGTTTAATTTTGGACCCCAATTTGGACCAACTTGAAAACTGGGCCAAAAATCTAAAATCATGTTTAGATTCAGCATATCAAAGAACCCCATATATTCAATTTTTGTTGAAATCAAACAAAGTTTAATTTTGGACCCCAACTTGGACCAACTTGAAAACTGGGCCCATAATCAAAATTCTAAACACATGTTTAGATTCAGCATATCAAAGAACCCCAAGAATTCAATTTTTGTTAAAATCAAACTAAGTTTAATTTTGGACCCTTTGGACCTTAATGTAGACCAATTTAAAAACGGGACCCAAAATTAAAAATCTAAATACACGGTTAGATTTGGCATATCAAAGAACCCCAATAATTCAATTTTTGATGAAATCAAACAAAGTTTAATTTTGGACCCTTTTGACCTCAATATGAACCAATTTGATAGCGGGTCCACAAATAAAAAATCTAAATACATGGTAAGATTCAGCATATCAAAGAACCCCAAGAATTCAATTTTTGATGAAATCAAACAAAGTTTAATTTTGGACCCTTTTGACGTCAATGTGGACAAAGTTGATAACGGGGCCCAAAAATCAAAAATCTAAATACATGGTTAGATTCAGCATATCAAAGAACCCCATATATTCAATTTTTGTTGAAATCAAACAAAGTTTAATTTTGGACCCCAATTTGGACCAACTTGAAAACTGGGCCAAAAATCTAAAATCTAAATACATGTTTAGATTCAGCATATCAAAGAACCCCATATATTCAATTTTTGATGAAATCAAACAAAGTTTAATTTTGGACCCTTTTGACGTCAATGTGGACAAAGTTGATAACGGGGCCCAAAAATCAAAAATCTAAATACATGGTTAGATTCAGCATATCAAAGAACCCCATGTATTCAATTTTTGTTGAAATCAAACAAAGTTTAATTTTGGACCCCAATTTGGACCAACTTGAAAACTGGGCCAAAAATCTAAAATCTAAATACATGTTTAGATTCAGCATATCAAAGAACCCCATATATTCAATTTTTGATGAAATCAAACAAAGTTTAATTTTGGACCCTTTTGACCTCAATGTGGACAAAGTTGATAACGGGGCCCAAAAATCAAAAATCTAAATACATGGTTAGATTCAGCATATCAAAGAACCCCATATATTCAATTTTTGTTGAAATCAAACAAAGTTTAATTTTGGACCCCGATTTGGACCAACTTGAAAACTGGGCCCATAATCAAAAATCTAAATACATGTTTAGATTCAGCATATCAAAGAACCCTAAAAATTCAATTTTTGTTAAAATCAAACTAAGTTTAATTTTGGTCCCTTTTGACCTTAATGTAGACCAATTTGAAAACAGAACCAATAAAATGCTCCGCTGGGGCGCAGCTTGATACGACCGCAGAGGTCGAACCCTGAACAGTTGGGGCAAGTATGGACACAACATTCAAGCTTGATACAGCACTGAATTTGGATTGTAATTAAATATTTGACACAGCATAGGTTTCTGACACAGAATGAAAGTGGTCTAAGAACTTAAAAATTTTCAATTTACATATTCATACATGTGATAGACTGTGAAACTCAGATCAGGAGATTGGGAAATTTTGGTCAGGAGATTAAGACTCAGATCAGGAGGTTTTTAATCGACATTAATTTTGTTGTAAATGTAACCGTGTGCTGTAAAAATGGTCTTTTAAAGTGTGTTTTCTTCAACTTTCCAACCAATTTATTATGTTTATAGTACCCTTGTACTTATAAAGTTTCTCCATCTTTATATTCTACATGTTCAATCTAACATTGTTTTTTTCCTGTATGTTGTTGTGACTGTGAATTTGTCTACATGTCCGTGATTACGCAGTACAGTGTTGACGTTGTTTTCCCGTATTTTGACGTTGTATGATAGTGACGTGAGAGGGGATAGATGTGTTGACGAATGAACAAGATAGCTGAATGGTTTGAACTGTCCAGTGTATGCCGTGTGTTTTGTATTTTATGTAACATCTGTATAATACATGCAGTGTGAATAAATCGTGACTGTTATTTTCTACAAAGATGGTGTTTAGTTATAAATTATGAACGCTCGAAATTCTACGTTTACAACATTGGTGGCAGCGAAAAGAAACGGATCTACGCAGACAGATGATTTATTTCTTTATACAGACGGAATGCTTTTAAAGAGGGGAGGAAATATGAATTTTAACACTGAAGGTACCGTAAACAAATTTTTAGACCGTACGATTTTGACCAAATGTATACTGTACAACAGAAGGACGATACGGCACTGGAATACTTTACAGTAATGAAAATTAAAATTCACCATTTTAAAACTGATATTGGAATTGTAACAGATTCGACCACAGAATGTACAGAGAAGTATCTAGTCGGCAAAAGTGGACGGAAATGGATCAAACATTTTTGTTCGGTGTTAGCATCAAGGATAAAATAATAATCTAAGGTGCAAATTGGAAAGAAAGCAAAATTGTCTCGTTCAAAGATAATTATTTGTTGTTTTATGTGTCTATAAATTATATTTGTCAGCATTTCATTTCAATATATAATAACCATGAGCCTGTGTGACTTACCAGAGTTTGACGGTACTGAACTTTTTGAAGGTTTCTGGATGAAATTTTCTATTTTAGCCGAACGTTTTAATTGGTCACCTAGTGATATGGCTTTCTATTTGGTTACTTCACTGAGAGGTAAAGCTTTAGAATGTGTATCGTATTTACCACGTGGAGATCTTTATAATGTATCTGTTTTGTATTCTGCATTGAAATGTAGATATGGTGATATTGAGACGGCTCAGATCTGTAGAATGAAATTGAGAAATATAGCTATGTTTGAACGTGAAAGTGTTCAAGAGTACGTATGTAGAATTGAGATAAATGTTCAAAAATCGTTCCCTGGTGTGAACGATGATTTATTAGTGAAGCTGATTACTGAGTATGCTATGTATGGATACCCTGATGGTGATATTGGATATAGAGTTCTGACTAAAGAACCGTCAACAGTTAGTGAACTTATCAAAGAAATATTGTGGCAGGAACACTGCAGACAAAATTTAAAGTTAGTAGTAAAATCGCGTTGCACCGGCGACAGTGACTTTGAGAAAAATTTTGAAATAGGCACTAAGCGAAAAATTAATTTCAAAGAGTATGATATTGGGACGAAGAAAGTTTCCAAAAATACTGACTTTGATATAAATGACAATAGTTTATATAACCAAAAATTGGAAGAAGACAAATGTACTGTTGGTAAATTATATGTACGTAATAATTCTGTGTATCCGAGTGAACAGTCTGTTTATTGCATTGTTGAGTCATATGAATTGAAATATGAAGAACTTTGTGACGTTTTTGAGGCAACTGAAGTTGAAGTTGCAAAAGTTTCGGACGAAGAGATAGCTACCTTGGAACTTCCGCGCGTTGAACAGCCGGCAGTGATTACTGGTGGAACAGACGTTGTTAGCGTTAGAAAGTTTGAATTGAAATGTCAGGTATTTAGTGACATTGTTGAAGCAACTGAAGTAGAAGTTGCACAAGTTTTGGAGCTAGAGAAAACTAATTTGGAACGTCCGAACGTTGAACAGCAGACAGTAATCACTGGTGCAGTAGAGGCAGGTAACGTCCGAAAATGGTCACCCTTTGAACAAAGTGACATTCTGTTTGATACGTCTAACAGTATTGATGCGATCAAAAATAAAGTACCTAGAGTTTCAACATATACTGGATTATCGACACCAGTATATAGAAAGGACTTCCCATATAAAGAACGTGTATGTGAAAATGAGTTCACCCAATTCAGAGATAGCAACGTCTATGAAAACAGTTATAAACGTGATGTATGCTCCGGTGGATCGTCTATGTTACCTGAGATGAACTGGAAAACACGAAAACGCAATTTGTATTGATTTATCTTTTATTTCGAGGACGAAATATTCTTGAAAAGAGGGAGTAGTGTTGTGACTGTGAATTTGTCTACATGTCCGTGATTACGCAGTACAGTGTTGACGTTGTTTTCCCGTATTTTGACGTTGTATGATAGTGACGTGAGAGGGGATAGATGTGTTGACGAATGAACAAGATAGCTGAATGGTTTGAACTGTCCAGTGTATGCCGTGTGTTTTGTATTTTATGTAACATCTGTATAATACATGCAGTGTGAATAAATCGTGACTGTTATTTTCTACAAAGATGGTGTTTAGTTATAAATTATGAACGCTCGAAATTCTACGTTTACAACATATGTTCTTTAAATTTTTTACTTCATATTCTATAAAAC